TAATCAAACATATGAACTGTGCGAAAGTGCACAGTGGATCCTGAGCGCGGTTTCGTGAGATCATGTGAATTGTACATAGCATTACCGATTAAAAATTATTTCGTTGAGCTTTATACCAACATGTTGGTAGACTGCGATGGGGCTTCCTTCATCCGTTTTGACACAACACTGGTCTTGTTTCCAGTAGGCGCACCGGAAGATAACTGGTTTTCGGATACTGTTGCAACTTACTATTCTGGTGTGTGTTAGTAACGGGCAAGCGCCGACATTACAACGACGAAAACAGCTATAGCAGTGCTCTGCAATGCCAGGATCGCATGTAGGAAGGGACTTTGCCGGAGTTTCCAAGCCTAGAAGAGGGTCTCAACTGTTTGGCACCGGACAACCGTTACGCAACAATAGCTCATATGATGAGCGAATTTACCTGACTGTGTGTCACATCAATTCTTCCCGCTCTGAAGAACCGGCGTTTACGTTTTCCTGGTCACTAACAATCGACTAGACCACTAAAATGCAGCACCAAGCAACTGAAACAGACGAACCTTACAGGAAGATATCGTATACTAGCCTCACGAAACTTTAGGGTCAGTTTCCCTATATGTTTTGCCGTCTCTGCAATCACTCAGCGGCTTCATCAATGCACATTGAAGTAACCGTAGAGTATACGGGTAACCTATCGATTCTAGTTTAAGAGACTCAAAATACCACTGTCACCTGCCAAACACATACTGTAAAACGTCAGCATTACTGCCTAGGTGGTTCCACCACAAGTGAACGGTATCATAGATGGCGGTGATCGATAGTCGGGGGTCTTTATCGCGTAATGGCCGTGTACCTCGTCCGTACAGTAACATTGGTTACACTGAAGTAATAGGCTGATACTCCGAGTTAATTGGACTTAGCCGCTACATACAGTAAACTTCATTTTAACGTGGCTACTCCGACGAATGAGCTCAACATTCCGTGATAATCAACTACTAACATGTCGGCCCAGTCCTGTAGCTGATGGTGCAACGCAAGTAGTGAATTCTATAGCTCTAAACCATCTTCCAGATGAGTCATGTTTGTCACACCGAAACGTGGTAGGACATTCATTTTGAAAGGATCAGCTAAATAGTGTCACAACTGAAAATGAGGAGTGATACAGGAAAGCAACATGAAACCCACTGTCATGTGCCCCTTTCTTGTTCTCTCATTAGTGCATGTCTCAACTCACTTGGGGATGCGCTGACACGCTTTTGTGTCTTTATTACACCAAAATGATCACGCTACTATGTTTTCATAGATGTTGATGTAGCTCAATGTTGTTATTACTTTTCTACCACACAAAATAATAACAGAAAAAATCACTCATCCCTCTAGTGTGGGACTCGAGCCAGTCGTCGGGCATGGGGCTATCAGTGAATGCACTTATCAATTTCCACAGAACACACGTTAAGCTAGTCTCGAAACTCCCATTGTACAAGCGAACACACTCGATACCTAAGAACGCGTGGTTCTCGAAAATGGATTGCGGTTCTGATCAACTACAGTCTAGCACTCACAATGACGTACATCATCCGCGCCTATTCAGTGTCCATCCTAGCTCCTAAACTTGACTGTTAGAACTGATGGATTCAGCACTTAGTGTGGGATAAATGGATACGCATATAACCGGTGTTGTAGAAAACGTGGGGCATTTCGTAGCACTAAACGCGTGTTGACTTAGCTATTGGACAGTCCAAGTCCAGTCAATGGTGTGAATGATGGTCAACTAATTGTCTACGTCATTGATTTTCCACTAAGAATCATTTAGTCCTGAAACATTCCCCCTGAGACTTGAATCCCCCGAAGTTCGGAGTGCCAAATACCATCGAACTGACCAAACGTCACTCATGTATTTGATACAAAAGAGTTTCCACTTGCATGCTTCTACACTGGCCAAGTCTGATATGTGGTCCTAAGTGCCCAGATGTCAGCGTTTACTCACCACTAACTAATTAGGACTCTATCATTCAACACGCGAATTGTCCTTTCATTGAATTCAGCTCTTTTCTGACGTTTTTAGCGATGAGTTTCCGAAAGTCATTTTGGCATATTTAAAGTGCTTAATGTAAAAATATCGAACCACATTGTAAATCCTTGTCTAATTTGTCATTGCGATCTATTTTTATGGAAGCTAGCTCTATTCTACACTCCTGTCCGAAAATCTCAAGAAGCGTTGGACCAGCGATGTCAGTGGATTTATCACAGCTACAAAAACGAACGCGTAACAATTTTCGTGGGTAAGGATTAAAACCAATGGTAAAAGCATCAAAAAGAGAAAAAAACGCGTAGCAATGGGATTATCGCAAATTTCACGTGTACACGTTGTTTGGGTACGTTGATGCGTGTCTCAGTAACAACGTGCTAACTCCTATAATGCAGGTGATGTAATGCATCATCAGGTCGTTTTACGTCCAGCTGGCGTAACAGCGGTGATGATTATCAAATGCGAAAGTAAGTCCCACTGCTAGGATAAACGAATGGAGAGATGGTTCCGGTGGCATTTCAACCGACTGTATTGTGTGGCCAACTTGAACTAATGCCCTCTCAGTGAGGTTTTGTGGCTGAGTTCCAATAAGATAGACAGTATGGGTGGTTAGGATCTCTGAGGATCTGATCCACTAATTTGAGATCACTTCGCAGAAGATATGGTTCACTGGAAATTCCTGGTGGTAGAGCGAGCCCTTAACATTTTTAGTCGCTCTTCGCTGTTGATTTTCAATATCAATGAAGTCATGCTTTTGCCAATAATGTCACATCTGGATGGTGTATTCTACTTGTAGCCTCAAGTACGCGTTAGACATCAAACCTGCCAAGTGCAGGCGCAGTAAGCCCAATTGTCGGTTGGCGCTTTTCACTACCTTCTCGGTCTGTTCTGAGCATGTGAGATCGTCCTGCACGATACCCAAATCACTTGGATTAAAATCACGCTGCAAAACGCTCTCCTAGTCGGTATTCGTAGATGCTCTGGTGACGTATGTTCATAATATTTCATTAGGCTAAACTCAAGCATGTTCCGAGCGGACCACTCGTAACTCCTATTGAGATCGCCTTGCAGCATCGTCGTCATTGTCAGCCAAATCTTGATATCTTCCGCAAAGAACAGAAAGTTTGACGTCAACTTGCGAGTTCGTTTATGAGCACTAAAAATAGCCGTGATCCTAGTACTAAGACTTAATGGACGTCACAGTGAAACGATCGGGTCGGACATGGCGCTACGAACCCGCACAATCAAGCGTCGTTGGAGTAAAAATGAATGTACCTATGTGATTGAATGCCTTCGGGAAATCAAGGTAGGCTGAGTCGACTCCTTTCACATCATCGACGGATGCCGTCAACCTGGCACGGTCTAACAAAAGGTCCATGGCACATGAACGGTTTTGGTGGAATCCATGCTGCTCCTCTGCACGATGATATTGCACCTTTTTCAATATCTCATAAGTTTCTCTGAGACGATAAATTCCACAACGTTACCAAGCACAAAAAATGGACTACTCCGGTGGTAGTTTGCGGGAACAGCACGATTGCCTCCCTTGCAAATGTAGTGACCATCCCACGCTACTACGTAGTTGGAACCTGCATCTCATTGAGACAGCGTTGGAAAAGAAAATAAGCCAAGCTCGCGGCTGCTGTTTCCAATGACTTAGGGCGCATGTTATCTGGACCAAGTGAACTGTACTCGCGCAATGACATTAGACGCTTCAGCACATCCGCGGCGATGAAGATGTGGCTACATTCTGTTGGTTACATTATACGTGCGAATCTTATGAGATGGCGTTACGTTCTGAAAATTGCAAACGAAATGAGATCCTAAGGCCGTTGGCCGCTTTTTGTACAGTTTATGCTCGCTCATATGCGGTGTTTGGAGGATGGATGCGTCGCTGTAATTTGCGAAATCTGTTAGCATGCCTGTACAGCAGCTTATGGTTGCAAAGAACTTCCTCGCTATATCTTGTTTGTGTTTCAATTTGTCTTCGCACAATGTCTTAGTACACAATGTCTTAGCACAATGGTTGAGCTCGGTTAGGTACACATTCCAATTTTCGATGTTTGAATCGGATTTGTATGCTTTCCAAAGTGAATCTCTCAGGATCATTCGTTTCCGCGTCCTGCTCCTCAGAAAGGACTATATATTTTATGAACTAAGGATCGCTTCATGTCGATGAGCTACCAAGTTCCACTACACTAACAGTGCCGCCGTAATCTGTGTACCATACCCGGTAATTACTACTGCATTGGACCCAAAGAATAGGAGGAACATGCTCGCATGATGTAGCTCGTCTCATGACAGGGCCTATCAGTCAGGAAGTGCGATGCAATAGCAATAAGGATATACTTCATTTGGGGCGTGTGGAATTAATTTGCGAAGGTACTGATACATAGTCCTACTAGCATATAGGCTACTCGAGCAAAAAAATGACCATTTGCGCAGGTCTGAAGTCGTTCACGAGGGGAGCATGTTAAATAGTTAAGCTCAAAAACGCAAACAACTGTAACTGGCGATTAAATGAAACAACGAGGTTATGCTAGTCGGCCTCACTCAGACTGCAAAATGGAAAACAATGAGTCTCTTCGATGCTCCGAAGTCGCACGGTGCTTGTCATGTGGCCTAAACTCCTAAACATGCGGTAGCTTGATGCTGTTTTTTTACGCTCTGACAGAAGTGGGTGTTTTTCTTATTCATATGTTACAGAACACTTTACATTGGCGAAGCGAGGTGTCGCTTCAACACGTGTACCGTGTTGCACCCCGATCGGTGTTCACATAAATCTTAACGGGAAAGGGGAACGAAAAGTGAAAATCAGGAGCTCACTTGCGAATGATGGTGCGGTGCTAGACAAGTAATTTTTATCCTAAGGATGTAGTTGCTCTATGATCCCCAGTTCACACGGCTACATGTGGGAAGCCGAGAGGAGAACCAGTATTGAACTCCGACTGATCGACACAACAACATGCCTGATGACGTCAGAATTCTCATGTCTGCGCCGTCCGCTAGTTTCGCGCTTGCGATATCATATCACAAAACATACCCGGTCCCCACTCGGTCGATCATTGACCCCGCAGATTTCGTGGGATCCGAACGCAGGTTCATAAAGCTGAATTTGATTTTGTTGCAAAACACCCGCAACGGACGACGGAAGCTCAAGCTTCCGGAAGATATCGTGATTTCTCATACAAGCTGTGTGGGGACCGAGTATGTACTATACTGTGATGTCCCTAGCGCGAAACTAGCAGAGGGCACAGATATGAGAATCCTGACGTCATCGGCATGTTGTTGTGTCGATCAGTCGGAGTTCAATACTGATGCTCCTCTCGGCTTCCCACCTGTAGCCGCGTGAACTGGGGATCATAGAGCAACTACATCCTTAGGATAAAAATTATTTGTCTAGCACCGCACCATCATTCGCAAGTGAGCTCCTGCTTTTCACTTCTCGTTTCCCTTCCCCGTTAAGATTTATGTCAACACCGATCGGGGTGCAACACGGTACACGCGCTGGGCCACGCTGGGCCAGTGTGAAGTGCCCTGTAACAAAGGAACATCATTACTTCGTTGTTTTGTTTAATCGGCAGTTACAGTTGTCTGCGTTTTTTGACCTTGGCTACTTAACGACCTCCCCTCGTGAACGACCTCAGATCTGAGCAAATGGTCACTGTTTTGCTCGAACAACCTATATACTAGTAGGACTGTGTCAGTACTTTCGCAAATTAATTCCATACGCCCCAAATGAAGTATATCCGTATTGCTATTGCGTCGCACTTCCTGACAGGGTATGATGGTCGTGTGGCTTTAATTTGGCCTATAAGAATCAGCCATCCTGCTAACTAATAGACATACGTATGTTTAGTGAAGAAACTCCACATTTTTACCCAATTGACAGGACAGAGCGCGAGCGATTATGAAGCATCCTTCAATTAGGTAACAAATCAAGTAGGTCATATTTCAGTGCTCATTCAAACGCCATTCGCACACACACCCCCTTCGAACCACAGCGATTGCTCACGACTTGCATCGTCAAGTAGGTGAATGGGCGTGGCGTAAGAGGGAACCAGTTTTGCGGTGGAAAGCAATGTGTTGGAGTAGGTATGTGTAGGGAGATGCATACTTACAGTCATTACTTGTGGCCGCAACACCGAGCTTATTTAACCGATTACACGACAAAACACCTAATCAGTTTCTCTTAAATCGTTGGGTCAATTTTGTATGTTGATTGGTGTGGTTGGTGTTTGAAGGGGGTTCTTGCGATACGGGATGGGAATGTGGACTTCCGGGAGGTGAGGGGAAACATTTGAGGGTTATGTGTGGTTGTCTTGTATGTCTCGGAGAAAACCATATCGAGGAAGTCCTATTCGTACACGATGACGAGATATGCGGCTCCACCACGAGTAACAAGTCACCTGAAAGAACTGGCTCTGGATGCCCCCTTCGGAGACAATTCATTAGCATACACCCAACCGTCTGCCGCACTACAGGGAAGGAGTACCTCATACTAGTACGCGCAGCTAGTGTCACTTGCACCAACGACATTGGTCAGGCTCCATGCCAATTCACACCCTGGTTGGTTCCGAATATCAAAATGTGGGAAAAGCCCCCTGTAATGAAATCGGTGACTCCAACCAAACTGTTCATGCCTTGCAGCTGCAATATGCGGCCACCGCGCAGAGATCAGCAACATGATTCCGCGCACGTGCCTGATCCATCTACGGTGAAACAACACAGGTATTTTAATCTTCTCGCTCTCTATTCTCAGTATTCAGTCAAGTTTCTAGCGGTAAACAACCGTTGCCTTCGTTACTTGGCTGAAATGTAGTGGGAAGGCTATGTGAGCAATGAACTTTTGCCGCGTAGTATTTGATACAAGAAGAGCAAGTGAACCATGCAGCACTGTTAATTAAGGCACCAGGCGCCGGTGTTCAGAGCGTGTGCCAGGATATCGACTTCCGTGACAATCGTTGTTTTCCGGTGGCCTGGTAATGAGGGAGAGAGGTTCTCACTTGTCCTCGATTGATGCCTCCCGAATCCATGACTGGGGTTGGAAAAAGGATGAACATGTGTGATTAGGGATAGTTGCTGACTTGACGAAGAGCCAACCTGTGCTGCGAGTTTCTTCGTCCCTCTCTATCCCGATTTGCCTCACCAAACACGATAACATCGGTGCATAATACCATGTTTTGCTGCTTCTTTATTGCCATCTCTTTTGTATTGCATCGCCGCACAACAACTGTGTTCTCACCTTTAGATAACATGTAGGGTGATGAAGATTAAAGCAGATGGATTATGTGGTGTCAGTCATCCGGGTACAAAAGTAAAGAAATTGCGCAAACTGTGGGTGACCCGAAGTGAGATTCCAGGAAATGCTGCACTAGGATGGCAACTAGTTCACGAGTGGAGCCTCCTGTGCTAATTGAATTCCTCAGAAAACAAGCAAATGGCATATTTCTCGATAATGCAAGGCACAGTTGAGGTAAATCGTCCACTGTTAACGATGCTATTGTTAACGTTGAATGATCAATTTACGGCGTGACACGGCAATATTTAACTGCGAAACCGTCATCATGGAGTTTAAAGTTTTTGTCACTAGGGCACTACGAGTATGCATAAATCTAATTAAATATGGCGTAAAGTCGTGTCTAACCGGCAAGTCCAAAATGCCAGTTAAAAGGATCAGGATTTTGATGGACAAAGCACGGTCATGATCTCGAATGCTGACCAATATCAACAACTGAGGCTCAAGCCGATTGTTTACGCCACCTGACGAATTGATGCGCCCAGATACGCAAGTACTCTCTTACTACTGAAACATTTTGTGTTCAATTCCAAGATTTTGATGTTCCACTGATCGAATTCCGATTCGGCCAACGTTTTGCTATTACAAAACTAGGCTACACCACTTTATCTCTTTACGAACACCAGTTGTTGTTCAAAAGTAAAAACCGCATTGTGCTCAGCGAAAAAATCGCCGCTCGTTTATTCCGTGATACTGATAAAAAAGGTTTGACATTGATATCTACAAACTTACGGACGGGAGACAAATAAGAAGGACCATGCGATCAGCCTAAAGCCAATGATGGAATCAAATATACAAAATGAGTTGCGATGTAATTGCTCACAGGTCGGTAGATGGAGGATTGTAAAAAGTACACATTTCGAGTAATACCGGTTAGCGCATATGTACACAAGCTTGAAAAACAAAATATGATTGATTAGTCATCCGAAGTTAGATCTATAGAAACCGCAGATTGCAAATTGGGTGAGGAAACTTGTGCTAATATGGCGGCCGTGACCGGGCCCGGTGCATGGTAGCAACGCAAGTGTTCTCGTAACCAGGGTGACATATTCTGCAGATCGGCAGCGACTTTGTCAATTGTCAAGTTGGAAACGCCATTTGCAGTAACAGTTGCGCAGGTGGAAATCAGCTTGGAAATTTCGGAAGAGTTGCTAGACGTAAAGTCCGGGAAGGCAGGTGCTGATATGGGACCGACTTCACTAGTAGTCTCGATGTCGTACGGTAGAGGCTCACTGGTCGTAGTGTCGAAATTGGTCGCCAGATCAGTATCAACAAGTAGGCAGGAATGCGATGGGGCTGGTAAAATATCAAGGCTGTCCGCAGGAATTGCTTTCGACTGAGAAGTGGGAAGAACAACTTCGTAAGAGGATTCACTTGTTTGGAGCAAGACGGAACATTTTTCTGGGTTGCTGTGTTGATGGCCAGTATCACTATTGGTCACGTTATTTGTAACCGATGTCAGCCCTAAGTTATCCTGAGTAATAGGCAGACCATTGTTCGTATTCCTTAGATGTGGTTCGACGCCAGGCACATCGCAGGGTTCGGCTACCATGTCAGCGTGGGGATCTCCCCCATCCGTGTGAATAACTGAGCCCTCTACGGATGCGCTTGTCACTTTGGGATCTGTACAACTGAGTTCAGCATCAGTCAAGTTCCATGAATTCGGCTCACTCGGTGGAGAATGCGCGCAAGATTCCGCTGGTCCCAAATGAGCACAAGCGATGCCGTCGGACTCTGCTGCAGGGCCGACTGAGTTGTCATTCACAATTGAAGAACAAGCAGAAACATCACTCGTTTGGATGTGAGACGCTATATCAGAATGTATGTCTTTTTCGAAAGAATGTAGATTCTTTGGTGAAGAGTCCCCATCTATGTCGATCACGGGAGCGGGTGACGACGAATTTAACCGTCCGTTTTCGACACCTGAATTGTCAGTCTGGTCGAGTTCAATATCGGCCTGATTTGTGAATGCGGAATGGGTTATTTTCATTTTTCGTTTTAACTTTCCCAATCGACGACGATCAATTAGAGCAGTTCCACTGGAATCAACACACGCCATGCCAGCCTCTTCATCGCTATTGTTGGAGCGGATTGATGTGCTAAAAATAAACTCGCCATCCGATTGTTTGGGCACGTAAATGCAAATGCGTTTTGTCGAACTCGAATTACCGATTGTTCCGTTGCAATTGTCTGAAACCTGAGGGGGATCGGAATCGCTAGGTTCCAGCATGACGCAGTCTGTGTCTGAAGTTACCCCCTCAGTGTCTAACGGATCTCCGGGGATTTGTGATGAAATCGCCTCGGTGCATACCGGCGGCTGTGTATGAGCGACACTGGTCGCAACGATAGCAACCATCGAAGATACGGGCGTGGATAGCTCTTCAGACGGTATGGTGGCAGTGAGCACTGTATCAGCCCGATGAATTATGATAGGAGGCCATTCAGGAAGCGGGGTGCAAGCTACTGGTTTCACTCGCATGTTCAACTCCTCTGTGTTCTTCGATCCATAAGGAGAATATAAGCGTGTATTAGGCAGCCGCCAATCCCACAAATTGGGCACGCCGTCATCTGCGGAAAAGATGGAGTGAAACAGTTCCAGCAGCTGCTGTCCCATCACAGGTATAACTGAGTTGTGTTGTACACGTATCCATGCCTCAAGAACGTCGTACTGTGACTGCAGTATGGAAGCAAGAAATTTCAAATCCTCGCTAGCCCTTGCATCGACTGATGATAGTGAGTAGGTATACGCCGGCATCCATGAGTGCGCAAGTGTCCTTTTAGTTACCAAAAAGTGCGTTTCGAAGATACGTAGCTCCGTGGACAGTTCGCGAATGAACGGAGCCAGAGAATTCTCTAAGCAATCAAATGTACGACAGCAAAGACGGAGGAGGTCTCTGTGGTTGCCATCTGTCATGATTGCTTTTTTCGTACCTTCGGACAAAACACACACCATACGGTGGCGAATGGCTTCAGATTCTGAGTGAGGAGTTGCTCGCGATCTATTTTGTGCAAACGGGCCCAAGAGAAGCGAATCGTGTAAGATGAAATGAAACAATTTGGAAATGGCACCGAGTTTGATTGTCAGCTTGCACAGCGTCGGATGAATCACTTCACTTAGAATGCGTGCAATATTTAACCGGGCAGCACCATCGGTGGCAAACAACCGAGCGCGGCCACGCTCGATGCGAAGCTGTTCACTGTCCACATTCGGGGACACAGACAAAGCGTATCGAGCTGTGAGACAAGACCCAGCAGAGACAAGCGAGGCATAGGAGTCGCGAAGACAGCGCAATGAATCTGACAAAGTAGAATGCAGATCGAACATGCAGGTGAACAGATTAGAGGACATATTTGGATCATTTAAACCGGATTCGGTAGCGGACTTTGTCGTTAACCGTGCTTCTTGATTAACGAACAAACCTTGGCAAATAACGCGTAGGTACCCCACGATGTGCCCGAGGCTAGCAACTTCATACTTTGTAAACACCTGACCGATTTTTGATGATCGGAATGAAGTGGGTAAGGATGAGATCCAAACGTCCTGAGAGTCTGCATCAGGGGAATTCTCCTTGTATGCGTTTGTATGTTCGGTGGGAATGGTGGGAGGACATACCTGTTTAGGAGAATCCACACCGGTGAGGAGTCGTTTCAAACTGCTATGATTGCTAACCGCACGTCTCACGGGTTCGCCTAGCAAAATCTTACTCACAGCCTTCATCACAGCAAATTTTGAAGCAGATGTACGCCAGTTGAACTCCGGGGGCAGCTGGGAAGACGCCAATGTTAGTGAATTCTCGGATAAAGTACACGACGGCCAAGCGATGAGGAATAACTGCTGCTTGGATTCAGGGTTGGTCCAATCGAAGCCTCGTCGGTTCACCGTCAGTGATCCCAAGTGCAACGTGTGCAGGGGAGTTCGCATACATAGATGGCGCACCCAAAATAGATACTTAGAGCGGCGACAATGTCTAAGCAGTGGACTTAAACAGAATTCACAAGCGGGATTCGCTTCGAGGAGACAGATGATTCGAGCAACATCACCAAGGAGCAAATAACACGAAGACCGGGGTCTGTAAGAGAGAGAGGGAGAGAACGGAACCATAATGAAGATCGTGCGATCCTAATCACAAACGATTCGGACTAAAACATTAAAAAGGAACAACAAGGGTAGTACATGCGGCGCATGTTAAGAGGAATGATCTATAAAATGTAGTGGCTTTGCGAGTGACCGTTTTTTCAATCAAGTCATTCAAATTAATAACGTGATGTACGGCCAGTGCGGCACATTTGAAACTGAGTCGAACGTGTGCTGGTTATGTTGCTTTCACTAAGCAAAGGTCGAAAAGAAGGGAAACATTTGTGGCGATACTAATGCAGATGGGATGACCCAGTCCGTAAACTTGTTTGGCCTCCCAATACCCAGCGTCGATAGGTGCCGGTTCTGAGAGAGGGAGTTTCCCTCCGTCTGAAAGACCACGTATAAAAGGCTACAGTGAGGGCCGTTCCGCTCTACGCTAGTGAGACCTGGCCCATTCAGTCTGAAGATCTGAGGCGCCATCAAGTCTTTGATCATCGTTGTCTGCGAAACATTGCTGGTGTTGGATGGCACCAGCGTGTCCGCAACCATGATGTGCGTACGCGAGTACTAGATAGTGATAATCATGCTAGCTCCCTAGAACAACAGATAGCACTGAATAAGTTGTGTTAGCTCGGGTACGTGTTACGTATGCCTGGTCACCGCTTACTTAGGAGAGCCTTGTTCACTCTACCAGATGTAGGGTGGCGCAAAGCTCGAGGTGGACAGAAGTTGACTTGGCAGCGTGAAATGAAGCCAATGACAACCAAACTGGCTGCCGTTGGTCTGTCTTGCCTTCCGGGCTGCGATCCACGTGACTCGCCTTGTGCTTGCCTCGCAACCGACACCACTGACGCGTCTGCTGCCGTCTCCTAATCGGATTGCCTGTTTAAAGTGTGTTTGGTGCTGAAAGCCGCAAGGTAGCTATTTCGCTGATGCCACCTTCGCAGGATAGTCAGCTGTTTGTGACGGTGTTACCTACACAATGTGTAGGCGCCTTGACCCTGAATGTTTGCTTAGGTCATTACGGATTTCAGGTAAGCCCCCTTCTCTCCGTCTTATTGTTCTTTATCCCATAGGTTATCATGGTTGTCTGGCAGCGGCATCAGTTCAAACGGTTAATGTACTGCTGTTGTTGATGATGATTTGCTCGGCAGACATTTCATGATCTATGCCTACGGGTTCCTCGGACATGTCAAATGGGTTAGTAATTAGTTCCACATGAAATAATCCCCTGGCAACACAGTTCTATTCGTCTGCACAGTTCAAACACAGCAGGCCCGGGGAAAACGGAGCAGAACTGATGGTGTCTTTAATCAGCTCCCATTTAAGATTGTCTCTGCAAAAATTCAATGCATAAAAGGAATGGTTTTAGACCAGAAGCAACATAGACACTTGCTCATTGCGAGGATTATAAGTAAACGATGGTAAAATGTGCCAGTCAGATTGGTTGACCATAACGTACTGATAGAGCCCATGTATTTCCCAACGAAGACAACCAACTTCAGCGTCCGGAGAACAAACGTTTGCAATAAGAAGAAAAGGTTGCGGTCACTCACATTTGATGAAATAAGTAACGCGTGTCTAAGTGTTGTTAAAAACGATTACACTTATTGTGACCGAAAGTGTCGAAAGCTGGAAACGCCAACGGAACAGAAATATATATCCCCATGCATCAAAGTATGTATAAACACGTTAGGAATACATACGCACGTGCATTTAGGTCCTCTTGGAGATCAGATAACCTTGTTGGTTGACAGCGTCCACTCGAAGTAGAATATCACTGAAATTCTGTAGCAACATTTGACAGAGGAAAAAAATAAGCAGCTCGCTACTTTTGATATCTCCGAGACACTAATCTGGCGCCCGAAATATCTTCTGTAGTACTAAGCGTACCATATTTTTAATTGTATCTGACTTGTAACTGTCTGCAGACTCCACGATTTGCCTGTGCAATGTTCGAAAATTATTATTTCGTTGTACACTTAGGCGACTGGTGTGGAATGTTGCGCTGCATGTTGGGTCCGATTGTTTGAGTCGATTGCCGCCACACTTTGGCGACTTCACTGGTCCGGTCTGCACTTCACTTCTAAGTGTGCTGTGCCGCCGCTGTTGTTCTCCCCAAGTGCCAACGGTGTCGATTTCATAGCTAGGTGAACAGGGAACCATTTCCGTACCAATAAGTTTCCCTGCCTTTTTCATCCGCAATTTGGGTGAACACTAAACACTATTCTTATTTAAACGATCTGGTCGGAGTGGTCAATGGTTAAAGGCCAGAAAAACCCAGCATCCTGGTCCTCCAGGTGGAGGGTTGGAATGAGGGCAGTTCCTTATTCCTTAAACGGACTCGTTGTAGCCCAATGCCAAACCCGCTTGCGGTAAGGTTGTTGAAACAAAGGCTTTGATTGAGAACCCTAATCGTTCTCCTGTCTAGGCCTGAACAACCTGACAGTATCCCGCCCACGCAATACAATGAATCTCTCTTCAAACAAATTTCAAATCGCTCAACAAGAAGTACTTGCCCGAACATTAGAGACCCTCTCGATCTTTATCTGCTGCTTATCGGAGACCCGCCTGCAAAACTCGATCTCTGTGCTCACTCTGCCTTCCCCTTCAGGTGAAACTAGCAGCACTTTCTCATTGCGCCTATCCGGTGACGGTGCAGCTTCGAGCACCGGTCAAGCCGGTATTGGTATTGCCCTGAGTCCGCGGGCTGACGCTGATCTGGTTGACTGGATTCCAATCAGTAGCCGGTTGTGTGCGGTCCGAGTGGCTGGCTCGTTCGAAGCTTCAAAGACGCGTGTGACTAACAGGTGTGCATTCGTGATCGCTGGTTATGCACCGACAAACTCTAGCGATGACTCGGTGAAAGACGACTTTCATCGTCAACTGAACGAGCTCCATAGCCACAGAAGAAGCACGAACAGTGTTGCGCTGGCGGGGGATGTGAACGCACAAGTTGGAAAGTTGTCCACTGATGAAATGCACCTGAGCGGTCAACACGGTGTAGGCTCTCGTAATGATAACGGTGAGCGGTTACTTCATTTGTGTGAAGATGCTCGCTTATTACTTGCGAGCACTAATTTCCGACACAGGGTGACTTGGCGCCCACCAGCCTCGAACCAGCCTTGGAAGCAAATCGATCACATTGCGATAAGTAACCGATAGAGAAACTGCGCCCAGAAATGCCGCTCGATTTGGAGCACATGTGTGGACACCGACCATGCACTTGTATGTGCTGACGTGCGGATGCGCTTTGGCGGACGCCCAAGACGATGTTGTGAGCGCATTGACACCAGCCAACTGACGAAACCTGCTGTCCTGAATGCCTATCAAAATAAACTGTCATGCGAGTTGGATAAACGCTCACTGGATACAATTGAAGCTTACTGGTCTCATATGCACCAGACCTTACTATCAGCAGGCAAATCTTCATGTGGTATGTCTTATCGCCAACATGGACATTGGGTCTCTTCACAGTCTCTGAAACTTATCGATGCTCGCCGGCATATTCCGGCTGGAAGCGAACACAATGAAACTCGCAGAGCTCCGAACAAAACTCCGTGCTAGCCCGAAGACAGACCGCGAATCCTGGTGGTCTAATCGTGCAACAGGGGTAAAAATGGCCGCTGCCCTTGGCAACCATCGTAAATTATTCCGTCTGATACGGGAAACGGGCAGCAGAAGACCTGGTGTTAGTGAAACAATGTGTGACGAAAGTGGGCAGCCTATCCACAATTTGTCAAAATGCTTGGAGCGTTAGGCTGAGTAGTCTGAAAGGCAATTTAATCGGTCGGAATTGTTCGATTTCCCGCCGGCCACTGATCGCTATGCTCCGTGGGCTGTCCCCTCGCATTCACCCTCTCGCACAAAAGCCGAACGTGAGATCGGACGGTTCAAGTTAAAGCCGCCGGACCAAGTGATCTTCCTCCAACCCTCTTCAAATTCGGGGGACCTGCTCTTGTGGATGATTTACACGAGTTACTAGTGAAACTGTGTGAGCAAGAAACTGTCCCAACCGACTAGAGCCGCTCTGTCATAGTCCCAATGTTCGAGGGAGGCTCACGGTCGGAATGCGGCAATTATAGAGGAATCAGTCTGATCTCCATCGCCTCCAAAGTGCTTGCCTCTGTCATCCTTCACAGACTGACTGGCGCTCGTGAAAGCCAGATTCGTAAAGAGCAAGCCGGGTTTCGTCGAGGACGTGGCTGCATTGACCAAATCTTCATTTTGCGTCAGTTGTTGGAGCACCGACATAGATATTGGCGGCCCACCGTTGTCGTGTTCCCCGATATCAAAGGGGCATTCGACTCGGTGGATAGACTTGCACTTTGGGACTGCCTACTCAGGAAAGGTGTAACTGAGAAATGTGTAAATATTATCCGGCCATTATATGCGCGTAGCTCGGGCAGAGTGAAAGCTTATAACAAGCTGTCGTCGCCCTTCAATATCTCCAGCGGTGTGAGAAAAGGATGCCCACTGTCACCTTTCCTCTTCAACTTCGCTATTGACGAAGTCATGGAGATTGCGTTTACAGGACATGACTTGGATGGTGTGGAGCTACTCCCAGGAGAATGACTTCTTGACTTAGAGTATGCTGATGATATTGCCCTAATCAGTGACAGCTCCCAGACGTGCCAAGTGGCACTGGACAGATTAGCACTGCCTGTCAGCCGCGTCGGGCTTTGCTTTGCACCATCAAAGTGCAAAGCGTTCCTCCAAGATTAGTCTGGACCGCCACTTACACTGGCTCTTGGTGGGGATAAGCTAGAAGTCGTTCAAAAATTCAACTACCTGGGAAGTTGTATCAGCGTCTGTGGGATTGAAGGTGAGATCACGAACCGTATAGCAAAAGCTAGGGGCACTTTTGCTAACCATCGCCACTTATGGCGCCGGCGCGACATCACTCTTGCCCTGAAGGGTAGTGTACAATGCAGCGGTACGTTCGACCCTACGGTACGGTTGTGAAACCTGGCCGCTTAAAGCAGCGGACCT